AGGGTGTGGTCTGCTAAATTAACGGATATTAGTGGACGGCAGCCCCCGTCCGCTATTAACGGATCCGGGTGGCCACCTCTAGTCGCTGGCAGCTGCTCTCCACCCGTTGAGAGGTTTAATAGACCCCTCAACTACTCCAATTTTGGCATAGAGGACCGCTCTTCACCCGCCGAGAGGGTCTATGGACCTCTCAGCTGCTCTTGTAGAGTGTTGATGCAGGCAAAAACTTCCTTGGAGGTTCCCTGGAGTGGGAAACCACCTTCCTCCCGGATCCAATACAATGCAGAGCCACAGGACAAGGCACAGTTCGCGTACAGGTCCTGGCGGGTCGCTACTCAGCGCCTCCCCTCTCAGAAGTTGCTACTCGGGACCCCCCTGTCTGCAGTACATAGGGCGGGCAGACTCCCACAACTTCCCCCCATCACGTCACTCGGACGGGTCCAGTCATGCCTGCGTCAACCCCTGCGACCCGCGGTGCCCCCTCCACTCGTTCACTCCGCTCACTGCGCCCCTCCACAGGCCTGGTACCCACCGGCCTGCGTCCCCTGCCGCCGATTCATGGCGCGGGTCTGCAGATCACGCCCCCTGCCGCCGGGCCCGGATGCCCCTCACAAGCAGCGTCCTCCGATGCCTCCATCTGGCGGTCAATTCCCGCAGAATGCACCCCCCACCGTCGGGCTCAGCGCGCAGAATCCCAAGCCAACGCCCCCCGCCATCAGGCTAGGCATGAGAAGCAGCAGCATGCGCCCCTCTCCACAGGGCCAGGCGCTCGGTCCGGTTCAGAATCCCTGGCCGATTCAAGCGGCGCCGCGAGGCGCCCACCTAACCGGCCGATGTTCCCAAGATCCAGTCGATTGGGGGGCCCCCTCATGGGTGGGACTCCCCCCTCTTGCTCTCGCGCCGCATGGCGTGCTTCCGCCGTCTGCGTCCGCCAGCTCCAAAACCACCTGGCGTGGTTTTCGATGTGTTCGCGGGCGATGCACCTACCGAGGCGCCCGATGGGGCCGCGGGGCCCCCTCTGCCGGATGGCCAGTGGGTTTTGCGGGGCGCTCGTGTCTTCGGATGCGCAGTGTGGGCCCATGCCTGCGGATTGGCCGGGCGCGGGGCGGCCGTATGCGCAGTGGGTGCACGCGGCGCCTTGCGGCCTGCGGGTGCAGCCGCTGGGAGGCAAGAGTGGGCACGAATGGAATTACAAGCTATCGTGCGGGGTCGGTCACATGACCCCTACACGCAGCAGTACACAATCGACAAAACAACGTATCAAATGTACCATATCGATAGTATCTCATCTCCGGGTACGGTAGGGGCCCGATCGTAAGTACTGGAACGTCTATAAGCCATAACTCCACTACCGCTAACCTGTTTGGGATGATTCAAAGACCTATGGAAAGCTAATAGCCTCCTCTGTCCCATATAGATACAATCTCGTGTCTATTATCACTTCCCAATGTATAAGTTGAGTAAACCAGCTACCCCCTAGTAGTTTACACAACAACCGAGCGCCCCAAATGAACAACATTGAGGAATTAGAAGGCGATGCCCCTTCCCAGAATGTTCTCGACGACTTGTTATATTGGCAACGAACCCATCACAAGTCGGGAAAGCCCAGATAGTACTGAAGAGGAAGACTACGACGAACTAAGTGAACCCACGATGAAACATAAGCCGCCAGAACAGGAGCCTAATGACTGGGGCATCAACCTCTCCGAACCGTACAACATCGAGGAGCTGGAGGACCACACTCCTCGTTGGGATGTACTTGATGGTTCTGACAACTTGACGACACCATGTGCCAATTGTGGACATAGTATTACTACAAACCACGAGATTCCAAACCGTACAGGAGAAGAAGACCACAACAAGTTGCATAAACCCACAATGACGGGCAAGCCACGGGGATGGAACCCCAAGGATTGGGACGTCACTCTGCCTCAACCGCGTGACACGGGAAGCAAAGGGTGGTGTCTCGAGGCAACCAAAGAGAAAGTTGAAGAGGAACATGACCTTGATGACCGCCAACAGCTTCGCATGGATGGTATTGAGGAGCTAGAGAACCAACCTCCCCGTTAGAGTGCAGTTGACGACCATGACAACTTGACGACCCGCTGTACCCGCCACGAAAGTACAACGAGCAAAATAACTAAAATGGCTGGGCTTGGTGATGAATCTGACGACTTGTCGCTGGTGGGGGAAGCAAAAGAACACCGCCTCCTCCCACGACCAAAATACCCACAGAAAATGAAGAAGATATTGCTATCAAGGAACCACAAAGGGGCATCGAGCGCGAGGTCTAGCTGGAAGCAAGTGACCCTCGGGCCGTGGTATGAGACATGACGACCGACTCGAGGAGGTGTCACACAAGAAGAAGGCTTTGCCAGGACATCATATCACTTTAACAATATATTAGAACGACGAGGGTGGACGCATCAACACGGGGTCAAGACGATAGCCAGAGAGCTGCCACGTCCGACCCGCTGAGGCAAGAAGCGATGACAGAAAATAGAGCGGGGGCGACCGCCGCACTTCCGCAAGTTGGCGCCCGACAGTGGAGGCCCTTGTTATGGGTCCGGGCCCTATTATTAGGGCTGGTGGTGGTTCTAACCACTACACTTCTGCTTGCCGCCAGGACATCAAGCCATCCGTCAGCCACTCAGACGACCCAAAGCCCAACGGCTCCGATGGGTTCCCGAGCAGCTGCACCAATAGGACTGGACGACGGGGCGGCGGCATACGCAAAGATGTGGGAGGCCGTCGAGGCTCGTCAGATGGCCCTGGACCGGAGGCGGCGCACAAACACCATCATCTAACGGAAGCGGCAGAATAGCCCCGTCCGGTGGAGCACTGTAAACAACGACAGTCTGTAGGACGAAGTGGAGACAACCACAACAAACTATAGGTCCAGCCGTCCAGGGAAGCATTGGATACGAACGGGAGTGGCCAAACGACTTCGGCGAGTCGAGGATGCCCCGGTTCGACCGGACGCTGAGCCTGAGGACAACCCGTGGGCAGGAATTGTACAACCGTATTGGGGAGGAGACTGGACGAGACTCCCAACCCATGCCACCAAGGGGACCGTCCCTGGGCAGGACGATGACCGGCTGGAGCCGCGGGACAGCGACTCGGAGGAGGACGACCCTTGGCGCCCGCACCCGTGGGCTTGGCGCACCTAGCCCAGCTGGGGCGGAGACTGGTCTACACCTCCCCGAGCAGTGGTCTGACGACCGGCAACACGGGGAGCACCTACAGCTCGTGGGACGCTCACTGCAGGGGGGGGAGGGTGTAAGGGTTGGGCCCTGGAACACTGTACATTACAGTCGCGGGATATTTTATAATATAGGCACTGGACATTATATACTAAGAGCCCTTTAGAAATGCTGTATAATAGGGTATACTAGGGACGACTGAGCTGGAGGGTGGTGAAAGGGGCAAAGGGGGTGATTGCTGTATTGGTCAATACGGTGAAGGGTGGCACTGGGGACCGGTGGGTCGGTGAGGCGAACGGGCCGGGAACGGGAATTCAAATTACGAACTTGGCGGGCATGCCAAAATCTGGGTGATTCACCCAATTTTAGCATGACCCTTGGACTGCCTTGGACACGGGGTATATAAACGGGAACACCGGGACGTTTTTGTAATAACAAAATTGCCGCCAAACTCGTTTCTGACCGAAACCCGACTTGAACGGGTAAGCGGGCCAAGTCCCATCCGGACAAAAAGGGGCACTGCCCCCTTACAGCCGGCCAGGTTGGCCAAGGTCATGAGGTGGGGTTGCGGGCAGTTAGCTTGTGTGAGAAAGGATCATTACTACACCACACTCACCACATAAGTACGGTGACCAGCTCGCGGGTCACCAGTGCGGAAATAATCCATGTCATGACACCCACACCGGTGCCCTAACGTATTGTCATTGTACCCATACACTTAATATTGCGATAATAAATATCTTGAGCACCGTTTATAATCTGATAGATATTCTAGATGGATTGTCGAACAAAGAAAAGAAAATCCGTGCCAATGTATCAGTGGTGATGTGCTTGGACACCACATGTTGTGGAGGTACTTGCTTCAGAAAAACTTGTTGTGTGCCATGTATCTCCATATGCTGGGAAGGCATTTGCTTCAGGTCACTGTGGGTCTATTGTGAGTGGACTCTCTTTACTATTCTTGTAGATTCAGGGCAGTTGGATCGCCTTTATGGGCACACATGCTGTCGGTGGGCAGCTCCCCCTATGTCCTAAGGAACGCCCAAAGACCAACATGTAGACTACCTTGCTTTGCTCCCATCCGCACCCATGGAGTTTGAGTTCGATTACAAGCATTCAAGAGAATTTTACTTTGGTTGAAGCCCCAGAGAAAATGGCAAACGGGTGGACAGACGAAGCATTTCTGAAACGGGTTAGACCAAATCTTGCTGCGCCTGAGGTGTGAGAAACATGCCATGGGCTTGCACCCCTCATGAGTGCTCCACTTCTGGGCACCGCGCTTGGGACGTGAAAGCGGGTGGGTCCCGCCCCCAGAGCAGCTTTAAGTCGCTACGTCATGGTAGACTCGTGATGGGCGAGTTGCATGACACATGCTGGGACAGTAAGCGCCCCGCCAAAAGGCCAAGCCCCCGGTCGGACTCGCTGGAGGGCTCACGCGAAGCGCGTCGCCCCCACCTTCAGCGGCGTTCCCGCCAGCCCCCGCCAGTCCAAGACAGTCCTTTGCCAATCCGGCCAATCCTGGCCGCTGACTCCGGAGGGACAGCCACCCCACCCACCGCGGCCTGTGCATCTTCACGCGCATCTTCCCCTCTTCAAAAATGACGCCCACCATCGCGTTGCCCCACTCTCCAGCTATCAAAACCCCCACCACCGCCGCCTGGCGCACAGTCTTGGCACGCACTCGCGCCCTTTGGCCTCCACCTCCTGCCCCCCTGTCGCCTGCCTGCGTCCGGCAAGCTCTAATCGGTCTCCCTTCTCCGCCGTCAGTGCCTCATTCTGGCCGACCGGGTGCTCCAAATGGAGTCGGACTCGTCCAACACACCGGCGCTGCCCGGGGGCGCCAACTCCGCGGAAATGCCCCCTGCGCCTTGGTGGAAGGCCTGGGTGACGAGGGCCAGCCTCGTAAAGCTGGGGCTGCTGGTGGCCCTGGTGGTGGCCATCCTGGTGGCCTTCCTGGGCTTCGGTGTGCACAAGCGGCTGGACGACTTCCTGGAGTGGCTGCAGGACAACAAGGCCCTGGGTTTCTTCATATTCGTGGCGGTGTACTCCCTGTGCACGGGTGGGTGCCGGCGGGTGGTGGTGGGATGGGGTGGGGTGCTTGTGTGGTTGTGCAGAACTTCCTGAAGCCCTTGATCGCTGCGCGTCTCTTCCTTTGCGAGTAGCTGCCAACCACAATGCTGGTCGAAAGGAGTTGGGGTTGGGGGCGTATCCGACTTGCGCTGGTCTGGGGGTCTCCCTGTGCCCTCCTTTTTCAAGCGCTTTCGTGCTGTGGGACCGTTGCGCTGGTCTCTGGGCGCGGAGCGCATTGGACGCTGACAAGAGTTGGTCCGGCAAACCGGTCGGGGGCCCGCGGCGCGATTGGGGATTCAAGGATTTGGAATTTGTGGTGTCCTGTTGGGATTCCTGGGGGCCGTTCGGCCCACCTTAATTCCCACTTATGAGCGCCCTCCCTCATCGACAGAAGCAGTGGGCATTGGCGCTGGGGTGCCCTGTGACCATATGACTGGCCGATAGGGCACAGGAGTATTGGAGTCAACGCACGTGGAGTCAACCCGCGATTGTAAACCACGCCGAACCTCTGCCAGCGCCGGCGACAGGCGCCTTGTCTTGTCCTAGTCGTGCGCTCTGTGCGCTCAGGATGCCAGCGACCTGCAGTAGTCACGCTGGCCGAGGCTCACAATCGCTCTGTCCGGAAGCACTAGGAGAGCCTTTGAGTCATGGACGCGAATGGATCCGCTGCTGGTGGCCGCGTGGGCGCCTGTTGCGGTTTCGCACAGAATTTTCGTACGCCTCACACCCGGAACAGTTGCTCCGTTGACGAACATCATGTCGGTACTAAAGCAGGGCTGTACTTAGCTCCAGTGCATGTTAACATCCCGGCGATCGTGCTTCAAGAATGTGAGCTGAAGACAGCTGTGGGCAACGGCGGTCGGTGTGCTGAGACTCTGCTGTGCTTCCCTGCAGTGCTCTTTGTTCCAGGCCTCATTCTCTCCCTTGGGGCGGGCTTCATATTCAAAATTCCACTGGGGATGCTGGCGGTCTGGGTGGCCGCCACCATTGGCCAGACACTGGCCTTCCTGGTGGGCCGGTACCTTTTGAGGTGAGCCCCATTTGCACCAACCTTCAAGTTCGTTCTCAACTCTATTGTGGCAATCCATTGCCTGAGGCATTCACAGATGTATATGGTAACCTTGACCAATGAACACTGGTGTAAAAGGCAGGATCGTTACATTCTGGGGAAGGTGCTTGTGCTTGCACACCTGCTACAAACCACAGCCAAGATGTCGAATCGTGGAGATCGTCTTGTGGACAATGCATGGACTTTAGATTTCTCATTTGGTACTGTCACCATCTCGGATCAGCGATCGCTGAACAATGATCTGTCTGCAAATTCTTGTTGAGACTTGCTGGGTGGCTGGGTGGGTGTGTGGGGCTGAGGGGCGTTGGGGTCATTAGATACATGACACAGTTTGATAGCTTTGAACACGTGAACATTATGCTGGTGTCTACTCCAAGCAGAGTGCGATGATTCAATATGTGGCAGATGTCACCAATAGCTCCTCTTCATTGCTCTCCAGGGACTGGGTGGCTGCCAGGACAAGGAACTTCAAGGTTTGGCAAGGCATAGAGGCAGCTGTGGAAGATGAGGGTTGGAAGATCGTGGGCCTGCTTCGCCTGGCTCCCCTCATCCCCTACAATGCACTCAACTACGCCCTGGGCCTCACGGCCGTCAAGTTTTGGCACTATTTCATCGCCTCATCGATTGGCATCCTGCCAGGAACAGCTCTCTATGTCGTCATCGGGAGCCTGGCGGAGGACCTCAGCAAGATTACCAGTGGGGAGGGAGCCATAGACACCAATGGTGAGTGAGAACTAAGAGACATGAACATTTACTTGCCTGAACATGATAAAGCACTGCCCTGTGCATGCAAGGCAACGATGAGGCATAGATGCTATTCTGTGAGCATGGGCCCAGTGACACCTGGGGAATGGCAGAATGGAGTACTGTGCTTATCTATTCAGGCCAGTGTCGGCAAATAGACGTGCTGGAGTATGCCTGAATTACTTGTGATAGTGAATGCTTTGGAGGCGATGTGTTTCAGCATTTGAGTATTTGAGGGACTGCTGCAGCCCGTTTGTGACTATTCAAAGAATAAGATGTGGAGTCTGGCCAATTCCCAGTGTTCTACAGTGGAAGGTTGTTCCCCATGTAGAGAGACAAGGCTTGAATGCCACAACTTGGCTTTGAACATGTCCAGAACATTGCCCAGAATGGCATAGCAATGCATTGCTGTGACATGGCACCCTAGGAGTTGGCAATTGGGGCACTGGGCACAATTTGCAGTGAGGCAATCAGTGGGTATTAATGAGAATGTTGCACTCCAGCACATGTGCATGGTTTGATCAGGAACAAATCACAGTGAGTAAATCATGCTGTGCCAGTATTTCTATGCTACCAGTGCTTCATTTCAATGCGGAGTGGTTGCCTCATTTATTTCAATGCTGAGCAGTGGCCTGTTGTGTGGGTGCAGTCTTGATCGTCACGGTCGTCCTAACTATCGTAATGGTGGTTGTGGTCGTCTTCTTGACAACATTTTATGCAAAGCGGGCCATCAATAAGAAATTGGAAGCTCAGAAGCTGGGCGATGGCGAAGCTGCAGAGGTGTGTGGTCAAGACTTGCATGCATAGTGTTGAAGTGCTAGGTGGCACCAAAAATATTGAGGCAGCTCCAATCCGCTTTTCCACAAAGAGCTCCAGAACTGAAACTAAAATGCAGCTCAAACAAGAAGAAAAGTTTTGACATCCCCAAGGAAGCAGGAAACTGTCACTGTGACAGGTTGTGAGCTTGCGCTGCAGCCAGGCTTGCCCTGCAGCCAGGCTTGCCCTGCAGCCAGGCTTGCCCTGCAGCCAGGCTTGCCCTGCAGCCAGGCTTGCCCTGCAGCCAGGCTTGCCCTGCAGCCAGGCTTGCCCTGTCCACACAAGTGCATTGGCGATGGCAGGGTAGAATCGTCTCGCTGCATTTGCCAAGTGCTGCATTATACCTTGACACAGTGATTCAAGCACTGCCCTGCATCAAGAAGATATGCAGTGAGGAGCATCTCAAATGGGTTCAATACACAAATTATCTGCCGTTTCGCATAGCTGCAGATGCTATGACCATCTTGACGTTACGGTGCACAGTGGAACGTTGCCGGCATGACAGGCGAAGAAACAGGTCTTCCCTTGCTTCGGTGGTGCTTGGGAGGCTTGCCACCTGTGGGCACCTCCAAAAGCCGCGTCGAACGCTGATTTCCTTTGTGCTGGCATCTGTGCAGGGCGAGCAGCCTTCGTCCTTTTATGACACGGAATCTGCGACCCCGGCCAACCCAGAGACAGTGGCCATCTCCGTGGTGCCGGTGTCTGAAAGAGGCGAGACCGGCGAACCGTGACAGTTGCGCTGATTCAAAGTCATGGATAACGGGGGTGGGCATAACAGCGCAATGCCTTGAGCTGCGCAACAATCGTTTGTTTGGCCCTGCAGTGCCAACAATTTTTTCGGTATTGTTATTATTTGTAGTTCTTCTCAATTTATGAGGGCGCTTTGCCCATTTCATTTCACAGATGAGGTACCAGTGGGCGCTGATGGGGCCATTGGGACCCGAATGATGAGACTGGCGCTGCATGCGAATGGCGCGGTGTTGGGAAGGCTGCTTAACACGCAGCCATGAGGACGCTATTGGAAAACGAGTGCTGGCTTTGTTATCTGCATGCAGCGTTGTTCCAAATTGTTATTGGGCAATTTTCAAACTTAAACTTGAATCGCCATGCCTACTCCATTTGCCAAGTTTTCTCAGGACCAATCTGTGCCGTGGTGTTGATGGCGATGTTCACTGTCCACATTTTTTGCACTTTTGTTGCAAATCTAATTGGCATCCAATCTCGCAAGAAGCATCTCAGCACCGTTGCACTTTCCTGACATTCTCGAGTCCCTGTCAGCCAACGAGAGCATCCCCGGCCCTGCGGTGTGCTGCACATTTACAGCGTCCTAGTCTGTACTGCGTTGGTAGCATGTATTACGCTGTCCATGCCCGGCGTGCGATCGGCATATTAGGCGACTGCGGTACACCATGTGCAATACCGGCAGAGACTGGGCTACAGCCACGAAGTCACGCAAAGCGTGGCATACTACTGTCGATGTGTTGGCTTGCACCATGCGCTGGCCTGTGCAATGCACCATGGTCATTGCATTCACCCCATCGCATGCAGCGGCGAGCATCAGCAACCCCTGCTTTTCCTGCAGCCCTTGGAAGCTTCTGGCATATATCAGAGCCCACATTTAGAGCCTCAAAACACTTTACTCTGGAGGGTGCTGATCATTGTACGGCGTGTTTCCTTGTTAGCACATTTATCGGTGCCAGACTGACAGAGACACCGCAAGAGTAAATGCTGCATTCAGTCTTGCTGCTTGCCACCAATGCACGTTTGCATCTGCAGGAAGTAAAAGGCTCCAGTGTCCTTGCCATGAATGGCTCTCAAATTATACGATATGCTCCGTTGCTCGCCATACATCCTGGGAAGGATAAACACCCCTGCAAGATGGAAACGTGCACCAAGACATGTGCATGCCATCCATGGCACAACTCGACTCTTTCCAAGCCAGTAGCAGAAACCCTTTTCTCGTTACACAGCCGACGGCAGCACTCGAAGGCATCTGGCAGGGCTTATCAGCACCATCAGATGCCCTCGCAAGTAGGGCCCCAAGTCCACGGATCCCACAAGCGCCCCGCTCGTCAACAACGGTTGAAGAAGACACCTAAAGGCTCCTTGAAAGGTCAGTGCCACTGCACCAAAGGGCACTGGAGGCACCCATTCAGAACGCCGTATCTATGGCATCGAAAACACGCACACACACAGACCATTTCGCCAGTGAGCATGGGCCTGGCAGCAAGGCAACTTCCTGTCACTCAGACCACACGGGCGTTTATTGAATTGTACTCAGGCACGCCCCCCCAGTCTCGGCAATAATAATATGTGACCCCCAAGCAAGCATGCGCCTATCCACTTTCAACCGCCAAGCTCCCTCATTGGACCCATCCACCCACGCACAAGCACAGAGCCTTATTCCCCCCAGAGGAGCGTTCGGTACCCCTAGTCTGACGCTAACCCCACCCCGCCACAGGTAGGTGGGACCCTTCGTTATTGAGGCATGCATGTGTGGGTCGACAACTCAAACTACTGTGGCCGAGCACACCACACCGCGGAACACGATATGTCACTGCGTCACTTTGTGGCCTCGAATCCATGGATTGACGTGGCTTTGACTGCGCCGAAGCCAGTGGGTAGTCTGACCCGTCCCAGCACCGGAGTTCCTTTGCCTTGATCCGGTTTCAAGAAACCATTTTCGAAGGGGAGCTCGCCTCACGAGCTCATCTGCATGTCCTCTGCCCCATTGTCGTTTCGAGGCACAGACGGGATGGCCGATCCGCCAGGCGATCCTGCCGTCCGCTCTTGCGTCTTTGGATCGTAGAACCGCTCTCCAGGAGCAGCAGTCGCCCCCACGCCTTCACCATCGCCTGCTTCGTTCTCTTGGTTCTCATCCGGCAGGGAGCCGGAGGAGTTGCTGGCAGAGTAGGGGGCGGGCGGCAGCTGGCTCTTCGCTCCGTGGAACTGCTGCAGCGGGCTAGCGTTGGGCACGTCCCTCATTGGTGAGCGGCAGCGCATGGTGTGGGGTGGGGGGCCCTTTGGCGAGGTTTGACGAGCGCCGAAGCGCGCGGAAGTGACGAGTCTGGGCTCCTTGGCCTTGGTGGTGGGTTGGGCGGACGTGTAGTCGGGCTGGAAGACGGGGCCCACAAAACTTGGCATCGCACGCGCTTTGGGCACTAGAGTCCTTCGGTATTCTCTGAGCTTCCTCTCTTCTTCCTCCTGCAGCAGCGGAGCGCAGTTGTTGCCAATCAGATTGCAACGAGATTCGACACCAAATCACAACATACCTCCATCCAGCTTTAGAGGATCTCCCAATTGTCCATAGCGGAAATTCCAACCCTTCAATGGGGCCTACAATTTCTACCTAACATACCAATGTCTCTGGAGACAATCAAGTAGCCTGTAGCAGTGCATGCAATTCTGCCAAACCAGGTTGAACCCTGGTGCAATAATCCCAACTGAGTTGCAAACAACACCCTGAGCACAGAAAGGCATCTACCAACTCGTGCCACGCATTACCCTGAACAACAGCCACTTCCTAAAATAGTGCTGACTAGGATCTTACAAAGCTGTGCGGCCACAGCTCTCACAGCGATGGCGATTTAATGCTACCTGCAGCAAGGCCAACAACATCACCACAGAGTTTCGCAACTTGTGTCACACCATAGTACATTCAACCCTTCTGCATAGTAACGTAAAGATCGGCCTTTCTTGCAGAGAAAACGATAAAATAAATAACATTCCATTAATAAAATTTTGTGGAGGAACGGAAAAAGATAATGCTCTGAAAAAAGTTGCGGAGGAAAAAATGTAACAGTGAAATTGTTTGATGTGGAAGGGTTGAATATACTGCAGCATCTTGTGCTCAACCATCAGTCCTGGAATGCAGGATGCATTCCACTGGCAGGTCTTTCAGGAACTCAGTCTGCAGCTGCATAAACTCTGAAACACATCATGTCTGCTACCATGATGATGCAAACAGCATAGTCAGCTTAGCGTGCAAAAACAAGCTGCAGTCTTGGGTGCCAACTTCTGCTGCACCAGTCTCTGATTCTTGTGCCAGTGTTTTGGGCACTTTGACATTGGATTGTCCATCGGGACACTTATCCCTGGTGGTGCTGATGCTTACAAGTTCCGCCATGGTCAGACTTCTGAATCACTTCAGCTGCACAAGTATACAAATTTCATCATTGCAGCGCTCATCACGCAGTCTGTGTCCACTACCAATGTTAAACCATCGATGAAGCCCACCTCCTTCCGCCTCTGCTCCCTCCGCCTCTCACGTTCCATTGCAGCCTCCTTCATCTTCTTCTTCGGTTCCAACACCTCGTGGTGGTACTGTATGCGGGCCTCCACGGTGAAGCGTGGCGACTTGGGAACAGTGACGCTCTTCCCAGCTTGCGGCTCACTGCGGGGTGCCCAGTTCTGTGCATACTCACGAGCCCTCTGGACCTTCACTGCCGCCAGTTTTTTGGCATCCTCCTCATTTTCTGGCACTTTCAGCCTCCCTGCAGAGTTGCCCTGCCACAAGTAGCCATTTGAGAAATCATTCCCTTTGCCATTACCACATTCGGCGCAAGGGTCCTGCTTCGCGATCTCTGCCAAGCGCAGCTTGAACTGAAATACTGCATTCACCAGGATCCAAGTTTCCCGTATTCCCACAACACTGCCTTCTGTACTATCTGAGTTGTCCTATAGTTTTTAGTGCTCAAGTCTGCACGATTGTAGGATTTTGATCGACCCGTGCTACAACTGGAAACAGCCTCTCCGATAACATGAATGCCCTCCACACAGCTTCAATTCCCTCAACACAACACTGCAGGCTCCGGTCTTTGTGGTGCACATTCTCCTGCACTGATTGCGGCACTTGCATGTTCAGAGGCCCCACATTCGCAAAGCACGTTGGGGGACCCAATGTAACATCACGGGACAATTTGGCCATCGAGTGCTTCAATGCCATCCAGTACCACACTTCTAAAACTCGGGATGTTGGGATGTTGCAACAATCGAGTTTGTGATATTACAGAATGGCTTCCGCATCAGTGCGCAGGTGGCACCCTTCAGTTTGGTCCAAGTGTCAGCACCCAACGTGCACTGTGCTCATCCCCCTCTTTCCATTTTTTGAGAAGCTTCACCATCGCCTCTCCATTCAGCTTGCATTTCACAGCTCTTGCTCCACAGTTTTGCATCGATGGATTCGCTACAGTGAGTTGGCTCTTCCAGGGGTACTATCTTGCTCTCATCGTGACATCATCTCTCCCAACTGCCAGTGTCACTGGCACAGTAGTGTTTGTTTTGACGGCTGACCTCCTGTGTAAAATCTTGCAATGGTTGTCTAAATGTCACAACAACCTTCAACAGGGCTTCCTCCAGCAGTTCCCAATCTGGCACTTCTGGTACTAGTCGTTCAGATTCCTTGTTCCATTGGTAGATTATTTGGATAGCAGTAGTAGCAGTGGTGCCAATATGACACTATCACCAATTCTGATGTGAGTGGGTTTGTATGCCTGAACAGAATAACCTGTCAGTCTTGTCCCTGTCTCCCTGCCCCAGCACTAGCAGCCTTCTAATTCTGAAGGCCTATGCTGTGCAACCAGGCAAAAAAACTGTTGATCGCACAGCACACAAGAAGGCAAAACACAAGCTCTATCCCAAAATCAATTCCCAGCACAAATGGGCACTTAAACTGGAAGTACTGTCCCACGTTGCCAGAGGCATCTTCAAACAAGGCACAGGATCCAATTGCCAAAATACAAAGCACACTAATCAGACCCAACCTTGTTCTGATTGTTCTCCAGTGCCTTGCGGCGCCTCTCCTCTGACTTGAAATGGAAGGGCTTTGTTGCTGTGACAGGGCTGGACCTTGTGGAACTAGACCTTGCTGACGTCGCGTCGGGCGTCTTGGAGGACCTCATCTCCTGCACCTCCTCTTCCGCCTGCACGCGGGGGAGCATAAGAGAGACCCTTCAGGTAAAAGGCTGTTGCCATTGTGTTTATTTGGCCAATTAAAGCTGAAAACAACAATCGCACATATCTCGATTATGGTAGAGCCATCCCTTAATGCATGCCTGCAACTGGCCACACATTCTAGGGCAAGTGAAGCAAAGCTCTGAGCTGTGCCTTGTTAATGGCAAGTTCCTTTAGTGGCCACTCAGTACCCAAAAGCAACACAAGGTGATGACGATGCCCTGCTGGAAGGGCCTTGAAGACCGTTGCCTAAAGAAGCATTGTTGTGATGTTCTCTGGGTTGATCGCCATCTTTGGTTCTCCTTGCTGTGTGCTTATGCCACTGCATATATTCTTGGAATCGAACGTGTTTCACAGCACATTTAGCGTACATTGTTCCTCTTATGACGTATTTCTGGTCTGCCTTAGTCCTTTGAGATGTGGAACAGTGGGTGGGCTTTGGGACCTATCCATCCCAAACCTTGCCAATCACTCATGACACTGCCTGCTGTCAAGGCATGCAAACAAACAACATGCTCTTTTCAGGTTAATTCAGCAAGCTCAGCCAATATGGCCACACACATCACTACAGACCCATTCCAACATCCAACACGTGGCTGTGTCCACAAACGCTCAACAATTCCCAACCATTCACATCATGGACTTGAGGAGTCACAGCTAACGGTCAACATGGAGGTGAGGGGCCATGACAAACGTATGTAGACAACGCCGTAGTTCCTGCCCCACCCCACCCCACCCCACCCCACCCCACCCCACCCCAAGCTGGTACATGGTTTGGGGTTTTGACTTGTTGCTCAAACCAACCATGTGCTGTCTCTTCGCAGCGCATCAACTGCACGCAGCGGCCGATTGAGCCCACGCCCATCGCGTATCCTACAGAGGCGCCGAGTTGCCCATTCCACGCAACACGTCTTAGGCTCTCCCCTGCAACCCCCGACCACGGACGGAACCCTTCCGCCATGGGCTGATCGCACGCGGCTAGGCACAACAGCGGCGCGCACGTGACCCATCGTCACTCTTCGCTTCCCCAGTGGTTCGTTGGCCCGCGGCTCGGATGCCTCTTGGGTGGCTCGCAGCGGCGCGCACGCCACGTTCAACAGGACAACATCGCCAGTAGCGACACCGGACTTCAAGGGCCATCAGCGGGCGAATAAAGTAGGCGTAAGGGAGCCGACAGCGGGGCCGTCCGCCCGTCATGGGGAAGTGTCACCACCCCAATCCGGTTCCAGCGGAAAGTCAAGGCGCCGCATTTCCACAAAACGAGCAGCGCTCCGCAAAAAAGCCCGCGACTCCTCCAAGCTGCCATCAGCACCGATGGGCCCCTCCCTGCCGCCGGGCGCCCTATAGCGCACCCGCACCGTCCTCACTCCGCCCGCGGGGAGCATCCTGATAGCGCTCGGCGCGCGCTCATCGGTCGCGAGCCGGAAGGGTTTCGCCGGTGGGTCAGTGGCGTCGTACAACGGCCGCCGCCCTGCGCCGCGTTCGACTGTCAATCAGCGGATCGAGAGCCGGGAGCGTCGGGGCTGTGGCATCGCGCGCGCGGCCACGGCCAGGGGGCCCAAGCGGGTGAAAAGCGAGGTTCCCCATCCCCTGCTATCCGCTTCTTTCCGTTATGGATTCGAGGGTCAGCGCCGGGGGTTCCGCTTTCCGCGCCGGGTCCTCGCGCCCCCCACCGTTGCAAACCCCCACTTTTCCCTGCCGTGGAGTTCGCGCTCGGATGTCGATCAACGGCGAACGCGTGACAAGGGGCCCAAGGCGCTGCACGTTCCCACACACACCCAACCCCAAGAGCCGTCCGACGCCCCAACCCCTTGCTTCTCCCAGGCGACCGCCCCGTCAACTTCCCGCCGTCCCGCGCCGACCGAGACAGCGGCTTGCGAGATCGACACGGGCGAGCCCACCGAACCACACACCAATCGGGCCGACGCCTGCCCGACGCTTCGCAGGCGAGTCAAACACCCCAACGTCGCCAAGATCCCATAAAACCCCTCGGGGCAACGCAGCACGAAATGCGCGCAGACCCACACCGGCACACGGGTACCCCCATGCCCCCTGTCAACCGCCCTCAAGCGGATACGGCAGATCGCTCCCTCTCTCGGTCAAGCGGTGCCTGGACGGCTCGTGACCGACCTTGCAGCTCACCGAAGACGAGGCCGCGGGAGCCGCGGACGGCATCCTGGCCGCAGAGCGCCCTCCGCCTCAGCTGCAGCCGTCCGGCGCCCGGTGGCCCGCGCTTGCGACAGCCAGCGCCGAGCTCCAAAGCTCGGGACGACTTGGGCAAAGACACCTGATCCCGCTGGTGAGTTGACCAATTCGTCCCTGACGGGAAGACCGCCTGACACGCTGGACGGTTAGCCATGCGTGACAGGCCCGGATCGAATTGGTACGGGGGCCGGGCCAGTACTTAACGGTGAACCATGCGTTGTACTTGGCACGGTACGGGCCGGGTTCGGGACGGGGCTGTGCTTGGCGCGGGTGGAAAAGTCGTACCTGGCGGCATGGGGGCGAGGTCAGGGTACGGATTTAGCAATACAGGCCAGAAAGGCGGCCTTTGGAGCGCCAGTACACCCGGTGGGTCCTCCAGGCTGTTGCGTCAACTACCCTTTCACTCTTGGGCACTCCCGGAATTTCTTGCGCGCTTATTTTGAGGGTGCACTGAGAACAGGTGAATTGAGGGAGTTTGGCAGATCGACTGAATCAGTGTCAGTATGAGGAGTGTGCAGTGTCATGCCGCTCGCTCACGTGCCTCTGTTTTGGTTGCGGCAAAATGCTCAGCGATTCAGCATGCCGCTTGTGCATTTCGGTGCTCGAGCGAGTTAAATGCGCAACGCAGTCGATGGCCCTTCCGCGCGGGGTGGGTCGAGTATGCTACAAGGTCAGTTGTGGACAAACAATGCCATGGCACGAGTTGCTGAACTTGCAGATACAGCAAAGAGAGACGCTGAGGACAGAGGAAATGTAAGTTCCAATCACGCACACACCAACACAGCGAAGTGCAGCTCGAGTTCGGGGGCCTTAAATACCCTGCATACATTGGGCAATTGCAAGTGCATTGGGAGGCCATGGATTAAATGCAGTGTTTTGGGGATGATTAAATATGAAAGTGGGGGATGCAAGTTGGGGCCACGTATAGGGGCCAACTGCATCCTAGTGCCGCAAGGACGTCTGCTTTCCAGCCCTCCCACACGTTCAAACTAGTTGTCAGCTATTGACCATGCTGAAGCATGTCTGGTACTTAGGTGCTGTGCAGGAATCTAAAATTGGGTGTGCGTGAGTGAAGTTATGGTACCTTGCGTTCCAAGGTGCGATGGTGAGCACCAAGGAATGGTCATGCAATCCCAGTTGACGGTACTCACTCCCATGACGCGTTATTTAAGCCAGGAGAACAATATTTCAGCGTCAATGGATGTTTTGGGAACATCAGAGTGCCACCTCAAATTCGTCGTTTACTATAGTTCGGAGCATAAGTGCCATCAATGACCAAGGCAGTCCTTTGATCCACATTTCTTCTGCCTTCATTCTGGCCGTACTACATTTCGATTGACATCAAGGGTTTATTTTCAATCTACCTCGGGTGACGAAAAACGACCCAAAGCACTGCGTGCTTTTATGTAAGCGCACTTTGTCTGCGTGGATTCGTGAAATGACCAAAGTTGAATAGTTTCTTCCCTGTGTGCATGGCAATAAACCAGTGCGCAATGTGGTGTGACTGCTAAATCACCGCACTGGCCCCCTGTTCCCAAGAAGCTGGATCACAAGCAAACAAACAACTGCTACTGGCATTACCACAGCCAAGAAAGGCATGGCTGCCAGCCCACAATGCGTTAAACCACAGGGGGATGGAAACTGGGGACCAAAACTACGCCTTGCTTACTCGACCCATGTGCGCCCCAAAGTGCATTCTAATTTCTTCCCCTTCCCAGGCCCCTCTCTCTTCCCGGCCAGCTGTTGTGACAAGGCGTTGCACAAGTCCTTGAATGGTTTCCGCCAGCAGTCTATTGCTGACGTCCACAGTGTGCAACAGAGTCTTGCCATCTCTTTTGCTCACAAGGGTGCCCATTGTATGCCGATTTTCAGTCCTCTGGCGGGAACAGCTCCCAGCCTGTGTGTGTGTGCTTTGGCGAATTTGCACGTGGGATACGCGTGGTGCAGTGAACAACAGCTGCAGTCAAAAGCTGCTAATGTTCCATTTGCAAAAAGGACCATATCGTACAAGTTCAATGGCCAAATTGTTGAATATCTTGAGCCAACAGCGCAGCCTGAATGAATCCCCTTGTGCAGATCATCACCGTGTTTTCGATTCTTTTATGTCCATTTTCAACGCGACAGATCGCCTGTTGTAATTGCGATTGAGGATTGGTGGCATTCGATCCTCGACCGAAATTGGGCCTTGAAAGTTTCACAATCTGCTGCAATTGTGTGCATTCTGCATGCGGGAATGCGCCACGGGTCCAATCCAAATAGCGGCTGAGCATGAAACGTTGACGCGATCCCGAAATTCAGACAACGTACGTTCCTGGCCCCGGTGTGCTCTGTCGCAGGTCTCCACCCTTGGTTTTGATTTCAGAGAATCTGTTCGAGGTGCCGAATTTGGTAGAGGGGCTGGTTCGTCGGCGGGAGCTCTGCGCCACAACACATAGATGCTCAAGGTGGTATGTGAGGCAAGAATTAAAGCCACAAAGGTGTCATGTAGTACGGAAAGCCACGTGTCTATATATAGAGAGACAATTCGTGTCACAAATCAAAGGCTGACGCCTGCCCCTACCTGCGGAGACCGGTCACCGTGATCCCACAGGATGCAAGGAAATTTTCAGATGAGAGCAACGTACTTTTGCTTGACATGAGCCTCGATTCGCGTTGCCTTTCTGCACGCTTGTTCAAATGCTTTTACCCAGGCTCACATCATTTGAAACGGGCCGTAATGAGCGCCTCAATGGTCGGGACAACGGATTGTTGATGCATCACGCGAATTTGCCAATGCTTGCGCTTTTCTAAACCGATTGCCCATGCACCTGTCAGGCTGCTGATTTGATGCACCTTGGGTACGATTGGCGTATGCAGCCAGCGCGGACAGGAGGACCGTGAGCGTCACTAATGCAGATGCTTGAATGAAAGCAGCGATTCCGGAAGCGCCCGCCGCATGCAAATGAAATTGCCACACCTTTTCTTGTCATGCAATTCGTCAAACGCAGCTGAAGCAGAGACGGGCGAGATGGCGTAATGCCCTGATCATCGACTGTCCTAACTGCGACAGTTATTCCGCGTTTCCCTCTCAGTCCTGTATTGGATTTTCATTTCGCACTTGACTTTCATGGATTTGCTCACTACGTCGAGACGAACGTGACACACACTATGTCCATGTGGAGGAACAACATGTTACGGCGCATGCGCTGTCCTTGCGTCTCTCAACGAAAATCAACGTATCATTTGAGCCATCTTCTGGATGAATTTACTCAATCGGTTGCCTGATCGTGAAGATCGCACACCATTTGCATGCCCAGCGCCTTGGCGTGATTGTACATGTTCGGGCCCGGGGAGTGCAGGCCGTACAGCGCCCTCTCGTGGGCCGCCGAGATGTACTGCCTTGAGGGCTTGTCCTTTGGAGTGGTTCCCACGCGGGTGCGGGGCATCGTGACCTTGCTGGGCTGGATTCCGAAGGAGGAGAGGGAAGAATAGGCGCCTGTGCTTGATCCATGATGGCAATCAATGGCTTTGCATGAATCCATTTGCTGATTAATTCACCAGAGCTTGCAATTCGAACCGCCGGTGCTAGTTTATTACGTATTTAGAATGATAGTCGGCCCTCGACTGTCTATTTGCGGTGCAGAATTGGAAGGCGCTAATTCGTAAAGTGCATTCATTTTCTAAGATCTTCCAGCATGTGGACAATAGATTGCGTATGCTAATATCTGGTTCCACATGTATCTCAATCGAAAATTTGTCGGAGCGGTCCCTAGGACTTTAAATATGTCCAGTTGACATGCGTTGAATGTTTTATTACTAAGATCTATTCATGTTATATATGCACAACCATCCATTGACAGCCGTGCTTTTACTAACCGGGCAGAGTTGTGCACGGCCGGCATGCGCCAATCGACCCAATTTCTGATGAATGGTCAAAAACCAGTTGGCGCCACGAACACTTCAACCCCAGCCACCTCTTGCCCGAATAACAAAGTGTGTCTCGTGGGACCACCTGTCCAAGAATTTCATGAACCGCCATCAACGGAGCCCCTCAGCACATGTTCTTTCACGTATACCACCATCACTGCACACTCGACTCTATATTTCGTGCATCTCAACTTGTGTCAAGTTCTTTGGCAAATTTACCTGGCCCCGGGCCCTTCATGAAAGTTGGTGTATTGCCCGGCAAACCCTTTGCCACGTCTGCGCGTCTGCCCTTGGAGTAGAATGTGAAACAAGGGGCATCACCAAGCTCCCCGACGGGGCATCTGACCATTGGGACACAGATGCGTGATTCTGTGTGTGTGTGCGTGTGTTTGGGGGGTAGGGTGGGGATGGTGGATGGGGACATACGTTTATTCAATGTATCCGAAATTAAATGAAAAGGATTGATCAGCGCCCCTATGTAAACTTTTGTGTCAGCCGGCAAATTGGCTAGTGTTGAAGGCTAGCCTGGAAAATGCACAGGATCGACAACGTTAGCATAGGGCTTTCTTCAACTTTCAATGCCTGCATTGTCGACGACATGTATATCTCTGCATGCCATGTTGTGCAGATCTGCGCGATTTGATTGCTTGTGAAATGCGCCGGTGCGACCCCTATTAAGTTGATGGAGCTGCAAATAGAACGCACTGGGTTGATTCAGGAAGGCGTGCACCTTGAACACCTTCGCTGTTCAGATATACCAATCACAAAGTCTTGCAATTCAAGAAGCCATACCCCGCACTCCGCACCTAATTTCCCTAGCCGCCGGCGTCCCATATTGTCGCCGAAAATCCGACCGGAAATGCGACCACCGCCCCGAAGAGCCGAACTTCCAGTACGGAGTCGTCTGGTTCCTGGACTGTGTCTGCTTCCCCAGGCAGCCTTCACGCGGATTCGAAAATTGGTCACATTACAGCATTCTGCCGCGCGAGCATTCAAGACGGCATACCAATGTTGTTATGTTGTAATTGCGCAAATCTAGCTACACATGCAAAGTTGCTGGTGCC